TTTGTTGCCCAGAACGTTGAAGTGAGGTTGGCGAGGAATAAGATCCCAAGTGTGATTGCGAAGAAGAGCATTGTGCTCGTGGCTAAGAGCGGAGTCCCATTCAGCATACTGAATTGCTTCTTTGACTGAACGAGGCTCAAGGGGTGGCGCCCGGGTTGTAAATAGAGCTGGAAATAGCCGCTTGGGCTTGTGAATGCCAGACTAGGCCTGAGTTCTCATCTGATGGGAGTGTTGGATAGGAGGCGGAGGAGTGGGCCGCTAGGCAGTGGGCTCGGGTGAGGCATGAGCCTGGAACTGGGCCGGCCTAGTAGCAGCAGTGGCGAGAGCGTCCGGAGAAGAGGGCGGGGTGCCGTGGGCTGGCGATGGGCCAGAGGAAAAGGAGGGCGGGGGCCCAGAGCAGGAGGACGGGCCAGGCAGGGAGCCGGGGGCTGGCAATGGGCCAGAGGAAGAGGAGGGCGGGGGCCCAGGGCAGGAGGACGGGCCAATGGCCTGGGGCGGCCCAGATGGTGATGTTGTGTGCAAAGGGCCTGCGCCAGGGGAGGCCCGTACCAGAGGAGCAGACGGGGATGCCACATGAAATGGAATTTTAGTAATGGTGGGTCCTGTGTCTGTGATCCATGAGGCCACGAGGGAAGATGCTGCAGGAGGGTTAGACAAATAGCCAGGAAACAAATTTTCAACAAAGTGAACATGACGGGATAGGAAAACACGATGTGAGTGAGGATCGAAACATTTGTACGCACTCCGCTGAGGACAGTAACCAAGGAACAAGCATGGACGAGAGCGAGGATCAAGTTTGTGGGAAGAGTATGGTCGTAGCCAGGGATAGCACAGACAGCCAAATATGCGAAGTTTATGATAATTTGGCACAATGTTAAAGAGAACAGTATAAGGGATTTGTCCACGTAAAGTAGAGGAAGGCAAACGATTGATTAAGTAAACGGCAGTCGAGAAAGCATAAGACCAAAAGATGGTAGGCAAATGAGCATGATGCAGGAGAGTGATACCAGTTTCAACGATATGACGGTGTTTTCGTTCGGCCAGGCCGTTATGCTCAGGCGTATAGGGAGGGGTAAGGAGATGACTGATCCCATGAGCAAGAAGCGTGGAACTTAACTTCTGGAATTCTCCTCCACCATCGGAATAAAGACGACGAATGGTGGTGGAAAAATAATTTTCAACCATCGTACGAAAGGCAAGAAACACATCAAGAACATCAGACTTACGTTTTAAGGGATAATACCATGTATAGCGGGGAAAATGATCAACGATAATCAAGTAATAACGAAAATCATCAATGGAGGTCACTGGAGCAGGCCCCCAAACATCCGTATACAATAAATCAAATGGTCTAGTGCTTGATAAAGAGGAGACACCAAAAGGGAGTTTGTGACTCTTATTTGAAAGACATGAATCGCAATGACTACTGACAGAAGAGGAAGCTACTGGCAAGGAATGTGTGCGAAGAAGACTGGATAGAGAATGGGAGGAAGGGTGACCGAGACGAGCATGCCATGAGGTAGAGGAGGTGCGGGTGGTGACAAGGGCAAGGCAGACAGTATCCATTTCATGCGGCCGCTCATAGACATCCCCATTATTTGCTCCTTTCAGCAGAGGCGCCCCCGTGCGAAGATCCTTCACAACAAAACAATCAGCAAAAAATTCCACCGAAATGGGATTAGTACGACAAAGTTTTGCGACAGAGATAAGTTTACGCTATATCGCAGGGGCACAAAGCACATCATTTAATTGTAAAGCAGAATTCTGGAGCATGGATGACCCAATACGTGTGATTTTCAAACCTGTGCCATCACCGACGAGAATCTCATCAGGACCATTGTAGTCCGAATAAAGAGATAAATTTTCGAGATCTGGAGTAACATGATGGGAAGCCGCAGAATCAAGCAACCAAGGTGCAAATGGCTGGGCACGAGTGGTGGTATGATGTTCCTGAGTTTGTCTAGCTTGATAGGCTTGGCGTTCCTGCGGAAATAACTTGAAACACTGACGTACTGAATGACCGGGGCGTTCGCAAAACTGACATATGACAGTGGGTCGGCGCTGATTGTGACTGGTGGGCGAGGCCTGCCCAGGAGGGGAAAAAAGATGGGCCTGCGGGCTGGAGGCCCGTGGAGAATCGACTTGTGCCTAAGGGGAATAGGCCCGCGAAGAGGAAGGCCCGCGCGAAGAGCCTCGCTGCTGGCCGCCGAAAGAAGGGTTGCCACCGCCACCGCTTGAATATCTCTGCCCCAGGGAAAAGAAAGCAGTAGGAACAGGGGATTTGATTTGTTCCTTAAGATCAGACTCATACTCGACTAGAGAGTCAATCAAATCTTCCAGAACGAGACCCGGTCCCCTAGCGCGAATCGCAGCAGCAAAAGCCCCATATTCTTCTCCCAGACCACGAAGGCAGTAGACGTTCAAATCAAGATCGGAGACAGGAGCTCCAATGAGAGCAATCTCGGCCGCCGTGCTTTTCAAATCATTCACGAACGCCAAGATGTCCCGATTACCCTTGGAGGTTTTGGCCAGTTTCCCCTTTAGATGGATAATTCGGGAATGAGCACTGCTGGCGTAAAGCTTCTCCAGAATTAGCCAGGCAGCGCGTGATGTAGAAGCGCCGGAAACAAAAGAACAGATCCCTTCCGAGATCGAGCATCGCAGAGCATGAAGTATCAACTTGTCTTGGCGGAACCAAAGCTGAAAGGATGGATTGGGTTTGGCCACGCCATTCTCTGTTATGGTGCGATCAGGTGCGATGGTGGTGCCGTCGATGTAGCCGAAGAGATCCAGACCAAGGAGCAGTGTTTCAAGCTGTGAGCGCCAAGAGGCGAAATTAGATGGAGTCAGCTTCAATGGAAGTTGAGCAGCAGGATTGAATGTCACAATGGCAGGGACAGCGGAAGAGATGGCGCTGTCGTGTACTTCGGATTTGCCAGACATGGTTTCGGGAGAGAAAAAAACAGAGTGTTTCACACAGGAAAGGAGACGCAAGAGGGAGAAAGGAATTAGATCGACTAGCTGATCGTTGCTAGCTCTGATACCATGTCAAGAACCAGTTGATCCCAATAACTCGAGTTGTTGGGAGAGGTTCAATCGTGGATCATATACCATTCTCTAACAGACTGCAGGTGCAACAGACTGAAATTGGAGAAGCATAGTCGCACGCCATCGACACCAAGAGAGATGTAGCACCTCAGTAATCGGAAACCTTCTTGTCAACAGATACTGGAGCGCTTCATTTCCATTTTCCACTGGATCTTTGGCGTATGTGAGCTTAAGCGAACGTAACACCAATGGTGGGCTTAGAGTCAGCCCGGAACTTGTCCCCCCAGAATCTGGACAGCAGATTCGACTTCTGACAGCGAGTTCCCAATCATCACCGCCTTCAACAAGTGCTCGCACTCTTCATCATCGTCGTACACATCCGTCAACACCACCACCGCAAACATAAATAGAGAGACAGAAGAGAAGCTACCCAACACCACTATCATCATGGCAAACCCATCTCCGGCCAACACCACGAACAGAGCTGGAAATACAGAAAAACAAACAATCCTCCCCATTCAAATAATACTGGTGCATAGTGGCGGATCCAGGAATTCTACGTAGGGGTGTCCTCTGTAAAAAATTAAATTAAATAATTATTAAATATGAAAATATCTAACTAATAAAAGTTTCATTAAAAGTTCAGACGTGTTTCATCAAATGATAAAATGCATTCGGTGTTTGTACTGCTCAACAAATATCTCTCGACATATCTTACTAGACAAGGATATCCCGTAATTGAGTTTAATCGTTAGGTTTTGAAAATAATTTGAGATAAGAATAACATTTTTCTATTATATTTGGATCTAAAACACAATAACAAATGAGTTGTAGCGTAATTGAAAATATATTAACTAATAGTGGCAGTGTCCCAAATTTAAATCACATAAACTACTACTTAAATATTATTTACACCAATAGGCAAACTACTACGGGAGATTGAATAATCATTTTCCCAAATTTTAAAGGTGTCCCACACTACCACTTAAACATTTTTTTCTCATACGCAAATTACTATCGTAGGTTGAATAATCGTGTTTCCAAATTTTAGGGTGTCCCGGGACACCCCTAACCATGCATGTATCCGCCTCTGCTGGTGCACGGGGAAGTTTTGTCAGACAAAGGTGAGGATAAAATTGGATTGGATATTAGAAATAATAATTGGATTTTTATGTTTAATCAAACAATTTGGGTGTTTTAAATTTATGAATCGGAAAAATAAGGTGCAACAGTTTATATAACCGATAGTTATATGATTGATTAGATGCTAATCAATGACAAAAATTGATGGGACTAAAACTTATATAACAATTAATTTTTGGATGTGAGTTGTAATTATAATTATTATTATTTATTAATTGACTCATAATTACAATTAAAATAATTAAAAATTAATTTGTGTGTGTGTGTTAAATTATTTGTTATTCGATGATAAGAACTAAAAAAACATGCATATGGAGGAATTTTTTTATCAAAATTTACAATTGAAAAAAAGGTCTTATGTTGGTTAAGTTACCAATAAATTATTCTGGTCTAACCTTAATCACTTGCTTAACGATCCAATTCACCGACAAAATAACCGATAACTGGCTATACAATTATGGTTAAGTAACTAATATAAACCACACAGTCAATAGTAATCACATATTACTTAATGGTTAACCGATAACCAACTAAACAATTGCGGTTATAATCAAACCGTCTAACAGTGTTAATCAAGTTGATATAAACATAATGGATTTGGGGAAATACTATGAGATCCTTCCTCTGTAGTTATTGTTTTGGAGAATAGAGGTGAATCAAGAGCAGCTTATTGCTTTCGTAACTAGAGAGGGATTTGCGACATTTTTCTGTTCTGCTATATACACAAGAGTTGAGTTTGATACGTAAATATGTTTGGAGCAGCTAGAAGAAGTAGATGTCATTTAACATTAAGAGAATATAACATATTGAGAGCATCAATTGAAAATTCTTGCACAAACAAGAGGTTTATTTTCTATGGAAACAAAACTTTTAACTAAAAGTATGAAATTAAATTAAAATGGATCGTCATTTGAACGATCATACAAAGTATAAAATTAGAAAGAAGGGTCAGTCAAGTATCAAATAACATCGAAAAGTAAAAATCAATAGAAAAAATAAAATAAATTACAACAAACAATTACAAGATAATTAAAAAATCTTCCAATATGTTCCCAAATTATGTGTATATCAAATTAGTTGACATCATCCTTTTCTTCTTTTACTCCACATTTACCCGCCGCGACGTGGACGGCTTGACCATGTACGGGACATACGGAATCCCCGTGGGTTTAACCCACTCGTTAGCCCGAAGGAAGCGACCGGGGGTGAAATCGACGGCATGTTGCGGTGTAATCTTCTTAATCCCGTTCCACGTCACCCTCTTACTTTGATCGGCGCCGGGGCCGTAGTTGCCAAACTCGCCGTACCAGCAAGTTTTGGTACCGACGGTGCCCATCCAGGGCATCCAACCTTCGGGGTCAATCAGATCGCCGATGTAACTCTCCATGATAATGGTCCTGGAGTAATTCTTCCAGGGCCGGCCCAAATACGTCTTGAACTTCATCCTGTCGGCCTGCATTTCCGGGGCGGCTATGATTGTCCCGTTCTGGATGATGATGGCGGAGGGCTGGTGGCGTTGTTTTCGTCCTTGGGCCGTGACGATGCACTGCTGATTCTCCATGGGCTTTCGGACCAGGAAGACGCAGTTTTGGAACACGACGGCGGCGTCACCGAAGATATAGTCAATTGTGCCGGAGATTGTGCAGTCGCGGTAGAATTGGCGCTTGGTATGGGTGTACAGAGTGTCTTGGTACCCGTCGAATGTACAGTTGTAGAAGATGGCGAAGTCGGCGGAGACTCGGAGGGCGACGGCCTGGTGCTTCTCAGCCCCGGCGCTGTTCACGATTCGAATGTTCTTGGCGAAGAAGTAGTCGGCGGCGATGGCTGGTGGAGCAGGGAGAGAAACAGAGTGTGAAATAAATAACAGGGGAGGGGAAAGAAAGAAAGCCTAAAACGTAACTCTCTCTAAGTAGCTAGATTAGTGTAGAAAGAAACTTGATTGATTTAACTTACCGACAGTGGAGGTGTGGTAAGTGCTAACACCGTCGATGAAGTTCTTATCGCCGGTGATGACGGTTTTATCGGCACCATCTCCGATCATGACCATATTGTCAAGGTTTTTGGTCACCTCAACGTACTCCTTGTAGGTACCGGCCTTAATGTAGAGCACAACGACCTCGTCGTCCTTCTTCTTCTTCTTTGCCTTCTCCAAGAGCTTCAAGCCGTCGTTGACGGTCTTACAGTCACCGCTTCCGTCGTCAGCCACCACAACATCGGCGATATCCACAGGATTCTTGGAGAAGTCCACTTTACCCTTTGACGCTTCATCTTTGATCTCGGTTTCATCATCGGGGTCTTCTTTTTGTTTTTGACCATCATCCTTATTCTTCTTCTCCTTTTCGGTCTCGTCGTCGGAATCTTCCTTGTGACCATCATCCTTATTTTTGGAGTCGTCGTCGTCGGAGTCCTCCTGAAGAAGTCTTCTGAACCTGTCAGGAACCCAGTTGGGGAATGGGTGGTATCCGTGTCCGAGGACTGGGAGCAACGTGACGCTTCCATCCGCGTTAAGGAGACGGCGGGCTGAGCCGGGCTGGTCAGCTGGTTGGAAAGAAGAGAAGAGGGAGTTTAGTCCAGTCACAATGTCAAGACCATTGGTGGTCAGCATCATTGATGTATTCATGAACTCCTTCATCTTGGCTCCTGCCACCGTGCTCACGTTTACAAATCCGTCCAAACAAGTTTCTTGATATGTCATCGCCGCACTAAGCCACGTCGTAAGGTCCGCCATGAAGTCATCGATTCTGTTGAAATCGAAGTTATCTGATACCTTCATCATCAAGGTAATAAAAAATTTTCACCGTAAGTTTAATATGATAGAGACTTTTATTAACACTTTTTTTTTTTTTTTCAAATCATAAACTGTGCTAAAATTTGAAATGTTTGTAATCACATGCAGGAAGGGCTATGAATTGAAATCACGTTAATTAATCTAATTATAAAATTTTCTAAACTCTAGATCATTATTTTAACTATACCGACCCTGGTGAGACAATCCTCAAGCTCGGTTATGGACATGTTCATGAGCTCTTTGCAGGTGATGAGAGCCTCGTGAGTCCTGGGATCGCTGTCGAGCTCCTTGAGCGTGTCGGACTTCTTCATCGCCTCGCCGATGCTCTTCTGCGCGATGGTGAAGGCAACCTTGACGAGATCCTTTGGGTCGGTGGCGTTCCCGGCTGATTTCTCGAGGCTCTGCTCGCATGACTGCTTGTAATCGGCCGGTTGACAGATGGCCGTGATTGCTTTCTTTGAGGAAGCTATGGTCTCGGCGCTGTTACCACCGCTCCCACCCGCGATCTCCTCACTATCGCCGCCTTCATTGTCTTTTCCGACTCCGACCGTCACAGCGACCACCATCGCCACCAGAAGGATGGATGACACTCCTATAATTACAATCCGCTTCTTTCCTCCATCGTCCCCCATCCTAGTTCTACTCTTTTCTTGTCAATTTTTTTTTAAATCCCGACTTTTTCTTCTTTTCTCCTTTCTATTTTCTCTTTAAATCTCTATTTGAAGGGGGAAAATATGCAAGGGCTCTTTTTGGATATTTTTCTTTAAATGTGTATTTGTTTTGTAAATTTTTCCTCTTCTTTGATTGGTCAGTAAGATTTTTTTTTGTTTTTTTTTTTTGTTTTTTGTTTATCTGTGTTAGATAGGAGCTAGCTAATGAGGTTTCAAGGAAGAGGGTTCCTTAATTTTTTTTTTTTTTATTGAAAAGCCTTAGTTTGGCCTCTCCCTCTTCAAAGCCTAAAAAACCTCGCTTGATTTGGAGATTTGAGGAAAAGAGATTACTTATACTTTATTCTTTTTGTGGAGGGAAATTTATTTGATGGTTTCAAAAGTTAGTTAAAGTCAGTTGAAGGAATTCTGAGGTGTTTGGTGGGGATTAGGAATTGGAAGAGGTCAAAGAGAATTGAAGAGGAAAAAATTAGATGGATTTGTTGATTAATGCCAAAAATGGAGTTGCTCTAATTGGACCTAACTCAATACAACTTCTACTCTGCTACCTTTCCTAAATGCGAGGAAGAGTTTTAGCCACTCTTGAAATTGTTACACAAAAAAGGACAATTAGTACAAACTACAAAGCTAAACGTAGGGTTACAAAAGATGGCTTTCGACCCTGGTAAGTATAGGAGGAGATATCACATAAACACTTTTCTAGACAGAGTGAATGGTTTACTCTCAAGGCGCCATGTCAACATCGAATCTCTTTCTTGTTCCCATTGAATGACCACTGAGTTTAAACCGAGTCAGCCACTTCCCTCAGACTAACCACCAAATCGTTATTGGTTTGGTCACCTTCGCTTGAGAGGCTACTGGCTGAACTTGTTGTCGGAATGGTACAAAACTGTTGAACCATAATCATACCATTAAAATTATCACAAACAAGTTCGTTATATGACTCCGGTATGGTTTCATCAACAATGACTTTAACTTGAAGAGACACGGTGGCTAGTAAAACAAACTAGCTAGATTACCCTGTTGATTTAGGTTAGATCATTACATTAGTTTTCTATGCCAACTTGGTCCTAGATTTTTTTTCTTCAAACAAAAAGAAATGTTGAGATTGCATTTCGTGAAGTACAAGCAAAAACTTGCCAGGCTTGAATGGCAACACAATAAGGAGTAAGGGTTCCTCAATCACTCAACTCGATGGTCTCAGTCAATCTTTCTATTGGCTTTGTTGAAAATAACAAACGCCAGAAAGGTATTTTCGTTCTATTTTGTGAGGAATAGTTCTATTAACTTTGGATACCGTAGAGGTCTAGGAGGGAATTAAATTCCTTAAGGAAAAATATTGTATTCTATTGACTCGGACGTTGCGTATGCATGTTTTGATAAAATTTCAATGCATGAGTCTTGATATCTTCTCCTTAACTTTTTTGTTCACTTTGATTTCTGTATGTGACTTGTTTTGCAAGGAAAAACTGGTATAAGCACAAGATTGTGTCCAGGAGGTCCTGGGTTCGATCCTTGGCAGTCGCCACTTCTGCGTTACCCCCTTGGTGACCACCGATAGGGCTGTAAGCTCGTATTAAATGCCCACAGGGTTTGCCGAGTATCTATGTAGGCTGGAGTTTGTCGTCGCAAGACGAATTTCTCCTAATATAAAAAAATGGCATGCGTGAACCATTTGTACAACACATCCTTCTGGGCTCTGGCAAGCCAAGCATAACATCGGATTAACACGAATTCTTGAATCATCAACACACTCGATGGATTAAATAACTTTTTCTGAACCCTTTATCCATGGTTACTCGGTCGGTGGAATCTCCGAGCCCTACTTTATCAATGAAACCCATGGACCAGAAACAAAGTGCAAACGGTCATCCAAAATTGAGCTCTGCCTTGACTTTCTCAAAGTACTAATTGGTTTTGTTCCTGAAACAAATGCCTCGTGCATAACCGCTCGATTTTTTTTTTTTTTTACATAGATATCCATAAAAGGTAGTAGTCACGAGTCATACAAAGTACAAAAGTAAACCAGGTAGTACGACTGTTGCCGAACTACCTATGAGAGGGCCGTTAGTGCCACAAAAGGGCAGCCCTATAAGCAGCTAAACCTGCAAAATGGACAAACACATAGACTACAAAAGAGCCAAAATTTCACACACAAAATAATCATGATCTCGTGCAGTCATCTTCTCCATCTCAAGATATTAGTCTTCAAAGATTCAGGCCACCGGTTGACAGATTACTGAGATTGCCACATGTCCCCCTTCGCATTGGCTACGAACCGACCAAGAAGTTCCCTGCAAAATGAACAAAATAATAGCCCAACAAGGCAAGGCCGAAGAGCAGGGGAAGGCCAAGAAGGCCCAAGAATCAAAAGCAGCAGGGGCTAGAGAAGGTGGTGTGAGGATGCTGACCGCACTATCACCCAATTACCCTCATCCTACTATCTTGCATTCAAGAGAAGGCCAATGCAAATGATCTTGCTTGTAAGCCAAAAGTATAACAACATCCCTGCAATATTAACAAACAACAGAAGAAAGAAATATATCTAGCCTCCAAGGGCTAACTAAGTTTCAAACAAATTAGAGGGGAGATCCATGCACAAAAACCCCGGAGGAACAAACAAAGTCTAAGGAGGGAAGGCAGCCTTAATCAATAAAGCAAGCCCCTGCATGACAACAAAACTCGAAATCCGATGAGATCCTCCTGCAAGACAAACAAACCAAACAGACCCTAAAAGGCACTCTAAGAATCCTGAATATAGTCATCCATACAATTTCAAACCAAAGAGTCATAAAACAGAACATAGCCAAACCCGGTAGCCGACCATTAGTCGAACTACTGATGAGAGGGCCTTCTGTGCCACAAGATGAGCAGCCCTATTACATCGTCGAGGCGCGTAAGAGCAAGAAAAGCTATTGAATTTGAGGGAGAGACTGCGAACTTCTTGTAGAATGGCACCACCTAAGAAATGAGCAACATCGCCCGCCCAAACTCGTCGAATCACCAACTGTGAATCACCAACAAAATGAACAGATAAAATTCCATAAGTCAAACACCACTGCAATGCATCACGTAAGGCTAGAAGCTCTATAAGAAATGGATCTTGAATACCATCATAAAACTTCCCACAAGCAAAAATAACTTTATCTGATGCATCAAAACCCACAAACCCGACACCACCTCCCAAGTTACGATTCAAGGAACCATCAAATCTAACTAAAGCTCCATGAGGAGGACAATCCTGGATTGATGAAGATGGAGAAGAGCCTATTCCAACAGACAGTTGGATTAGAGGGCCAGGAATCCGAGGACGGTTAGTAGCTGCCCGCCATTCTTGCACCTGCACAACAAATTGACGCAGCAGTGCCGGAGGAAGATACTGTACATGGTCAAAAACCGACCAGCACCTTCCTTTCCAGACTCTCCAGCAAAGAAACACAACATTAGCAGTTTGAACTTTAGACCAACATTAGCAATTTGAACTTTAGGCGGGATAAGTGTAACCGCAGAGATTCCAGTCCCGCAGCTTGCCACAATCCAACCGCTACTCTACACTGCAGAAAAGCATGTTCAGAGGTTTCAGGTGTTGCCGAGCAAATGAGGCAAGTACCATTGAGAACCAATGTCTTTGTGAGTAGAACTGTCTGCAAGGGGAGGAACCGACGCACTAATCTCCAAAAAAAAATGTTTAACCTTTGTCGGAATCGGGAGATTCCATAACACCTTCCAAAACCTGCAGTCAAAAGGAAGAAGTGGAGGTGGGCTACGCTGATTTCGCTCGTTAGTCAATAGATGATAGCCCGTTTTAACAGTATATTCCCCTAAAGTTGAATATTGACAAACTTGCCTATCCTCTACCGGTTGCAAAGGCAAAGGGATGGATAAGATTGATTTAATTAAGTCAGCAGTAAAAAAGGAATGTAGTAGATTGACATTCCAAAGGTGAGTATTGGGACAAATTAGGCTCGAAACAAAGCAAAAGGGAAGAGTTACCCCTGAGAGGAGAATTGGCGCAGAAGGTGGAGAAGTGGGAAGCCAAAGATCTTCAAGAATCTTAACAGATACACCAGAACCAATACTCCAACGGATGCCACGCTTCAACAAATCCCTGCCTTGACGAATGCGTTGCCATGCCCATGATGGTCGTGTGCTAGTAGGCACCTCAAGAAAGTGATGATTAGGATGATAGCGAACTTTATACATGCGCGCCAGGCAGCTGTCAGGGTTGAGGAAGATTCGCCCGGCCTGCTTCGCGAGCAAAGCCACATTGAAACGGTCAAAATCTCTAAACCCAGCTCCCCTTCAAACTTGCTTTGACAGACCATCGTCCAGGAAACCCAATGAATGCCTTTCACCTTATCTTGGTCTGCCCACCAAAATCGAGCCAGTTGGCTATTACACCTGTGACAAGAATCGGATACCAATCTAAAGGAAGACATCGCATAGATAGGAATTGCCGAACCAACAGCTTTAAGGACAACTTCCTTAGCGGCCAACGACATGGCTTTTGACTTCCAACTCCTTATTCGGGCAGCCAAGGCCTCTTCAATGAATCTAAAGGTCTGAACTTTAGATCTAAGAACTTGCGCCGGTAGACCAAGGTATTTATCCCCACCACCCATTATACCAACACCCAGAAAAGAACTAATGTCCGCCAACTCATGAACTGAAACATTAGCACTCACACACACTGATGATTTTTGTAAATTCACTCTTTGACCACTCATATCACCGTATTTTTGTAAACTCACACATAACCGCTCGAATTTGAGCATACCATGAAAACAAAAATCAAAGTAAACACGTTTTCTGCTTTTCGTTTCCAAATTTTTGTTTTGACAACATAAAACAGAAAACGAAAGTCAAAGTAAACTGGGCCAATTGTTTGCCTACAACTAGGCCTGATAATCGGTTCGGTTGCGGTTTAACCGAACCGTTTCGTCGGTTAACCGCCACAAAAAATGAGCCTTTTCCACCAACCGCCACCGAAGCCGAGAAGCTCTGCGGTTAGCCGCCACCGAAACCGCTAACTGCGGTGCGGTTAATACCAAAACCGACCCCGACAATTACAATAAAAAGAGGGGAACTTTTGGGATTGTCTCTCTCTTTCTCTCTGGAAATTTCCAAATCAAACTCTCGTATCTCTCTCTTTCTCAAAATCTCATGCAATCTTTGAGATTGCCATCTCTGGCTGTGCTTCTCTTAGCATCTTACCCTCTCACTTTGCGGCGACGGTGAGCTAGCAATTGGCTCCGACGAGGGGCGCCGACGAGATAGATGGGAGGCGGCAACGACGAGGAAGAAGACAGGGCAGCGACAAATGAAATTGCAAGGCGATGCATGGGACGATGACGGTGACGACAACCGAGGATCGACTTGCTGCGCCTGCCGACGGCGACAGAGGATCGACCAAATCGACCTACTTCTACTGCCGCCAGGCCTTGGATCTGGAGGATGAGGAAGGGGCAGCGACTGAGACAACTTCGACTCTTTCCAGGTCTCGTCGACCTCCGAGGATGAAGAAGGATGGGATGGCGACGACAACAGACGATCGATCTTCATTGCTACAACGACCCCTTCTCCTTGTTGGACTTCGTTAGCTGGATCTCGATGGCGGACGGGCAGCGATTGAGGATGGATGGGCAACGAAGATTCTTCTTCTAGAGAGCCATGAAGGGGTTGGGACATGGGATGGGAGGGGGATTAGTCGATTAGGGGAAAAAGAAGCGAGCGGGGCGGTTATTCGGTGCACCGAGTTTTATCTCGGTTGCCGGTTAACATAATTCCCCAAAACAGCGCCACCGACACCGCCACCGAAGACAATTTATCGGTTTTCGGTTCGGTGAATAACCGCTCGGTTCGGATCGGTTTTCGGTTTAACCGAGAAACCGCCAACCGATTATCACCCCTACCTACAACCACTACCACTACGGCGTCGTTGGAGCAATTTACTGAGAAAGAAAAGATCAGGCAGAAGCAGAACTGCAGAACCCTAATCGTCCTCACCCTTCGGAATTCGCAGAATCTTCCATCTTCAATCCCGTTCTTCTCAGTCCACCAGCGGCGCTCTCAATAGCAAAGCAGAGCGATAGTTCACTGATCCACATCGACCATCCGTCCTTCACCCGTCGACTTCGAAAAGCGGCCATCCCTCCTCCAGCGGCAAGGAAACCTCTGCCTCCTCAGTTCGTTGTCTCCTGAATCGGTAAGTTGGATTGTTTATCTATCCGATTATCTGTTTCTTCATAACGAACACTCACAATCCCAGCAGCCAGCCCTAATTTCTCTACAGCCGACGAACTCCTTCTCTCTGCTTTCTCACCACCCCGTATTCCTCCGAATTCACCCGCCTGTAGATATCGCCATTCTCCTCTGCTAGCATCTGGTCGTCCATCGACGGTCCCAGCACCTACGGATTTCGTCCACCAGCCAGGCGGACATCACCGTGTAGAGTTCGTTCCCCACTGCTCAGCCTCGGCACCTCTCACGGCTGTGCCGGCTCCAGAGTAGACAACCACTGCTCCGCCTTGTCACCACTGCTGCCGGCTCCAGAATCTAGGCCACTGCTGCCGCCTGGAGTGCCAGACCAGATCACCACTACACTGCCTCTTCCGCCTCACTTCCGATCTGCTGCGCCTGCAGCTTGCTGATTATCTCTGTAAGTTCTCCCCTGTTGCTTAGTTAATTAGGTTGGTCAGTTCTTTATTTTTTCATGAAAGTGAAGTGATGTTGCAGAATATATTTGAGAGTAAACGAAGGAAGTTAGTCAAAGATTATTTGATAGATTTGACATTACATATATTTGATAATGAATGAAGATTGAAGAAATCAGTTGTATAGATTTGAGAATTGAGATTACAAGGAATATTTGGGTTTGATAAATGCAAACCTTGAAGCCAAGGGACTTGTTTAGGTTATTTTTATCCTTGAGAACATTTGTATGCTTTGATTTCGAAAATTTGGATTCTAAAACTCATTTGTGACTTTTGATTTATGCTATTATGTGACCTTTGACTTGTATTCTATGTTTATGAGCTTGTTGTTATGACTTGACTTATGATTTTGCTCTACGTCAAAAGCGACTCAAATTATATAATGTGTATGACAAGTTACATTTATAGGTATTTATTCACTTACATAAGGTCTGCACATTCAAAATTTACAGGATACATGTCCTACTTAGCAGATTTTTAGGTATTTTATTTTTACATGATGCATCAAAAGTTTATGCTTTTAAGCTCTATACTTTTACCCACCGTTCCGTTTCTAGGTAGAATCGTGCTTTTGATTGCATTAGTCAGAATCATTTGGTGTTTTACTTATATGCTGCTGCCTTATTAGTTTCTTCTTGTTGATTTATTTGGTCTAGTATGCCATAGGCCATGTCCTGCCATCTCTACCTTTTGGATTATTATGATAAATTTTGGCTCATCTAACCCTTTCCGTGGGCTTTTTTTTTCTTCTGTTGATTATTTGGTGCCTAAAACTGTTTTATTCTGGTGCAGCCAGGGGGTTTGTTTTTTTATCTTCCTTTTCTGTTTCCTTGTGCAGTTAACGAGCATAGCAGGGTAGGGTCTCAACCTTACTTCTGAGAGTTGCAGAATGGCTACTGGACCTGGGCTCGAGTCTCTTGTTGATCGTAAGTTACTCTTAATAGACACTGTTCTCATCCCGTTTTTAGTGTTTTTTAGACACGAATCTACAGTTTATGGGTATGGCTAGAGACCTAAAGAAGGAACAAGATTGGGTTACTTTAGCAGTGGCAAATTGGATTGATGTTCTAATCATCATCTAGGGGTTTCCATGCAATTAGTGTTTTATTTCTTGTCCCCTGCTGATGAAGTACGTGTCAATATTGAGTAGAATTTTTCAATGAATATTATTGAGGAAATTTCAAGAACTCGTGCTTGTGAGATCATGAAATATCATCCTTTCCCGAATTAGAGATTCATGATTGTGAGTTACGTTCTGCTTAATGTGCATGTTTTAGTTTGTTTTTACTTTAGCACGACTAGCAATGAATAGCTGTACGTATCGAGTCTACTTCATTTGTCAGAAACCAAAACAATAAGAATCTTGAGCTCTGATTAACAATATAATGCTGGATGAGGAGTGAAAGAAAAGAGGTCTGCGTTGGTTTATGAATCCTGTGGTGGCTAATGATACTAGTTTCTGTGTCTGTGCCCTTTTATGATGGTCTAAATAATCCTTGCTCTTCTCTGTGCAGAAACCATTTCCGTGATCACAAATGATGGCCGCAACATAGTGGTATGTCATGACCCCTGACCTTTACGTGCATTTATGTATTTAGTACACTTTTTCAGTGTAGTTACTACGCTTGATCCCAACCTCATTGGTGTAGTCTTGTTTGTGAGATACAAAAGTTGATGGGAATAGAAGTGGTGTTATTTGCTGCTATATGATCTCCAATAATGTGAACTAACCTCTTTTATGTTTTGGGTAATTTAGGGCATCTTGAAAGGCTTTGATCAGGCCACGAATATCATCCTTGATGAATCTCATGAACGTGTTTATTCCACTAAGGTTTGAATCCTTCTCCTGATTTCTTCCCTTCGTCTTGATTAGATTGAAGCCATTAAGGGGTCTTCTGTTCTTTGAATGCATGCATCACATTTCTTTGTTTTCAGCTCACCGGTAAATGTTTGATTCTTTATTTTTCAAGAATCCAAATTACATTTGTAACATATTTGCATCTGGTGTCCATCCGAATTTCGGGTCACAATGAGTTCTCCCTCCTCCTTTCTGTTCTCCGTTACTTGAAAGTTGAGAGGTCATTCCCTCAAATCAGGCGGAGAAGATATAGAAATGTATGTGTTTCAGTTGACTCAGTAGATGGCTGTTCGTTTTTTTCCAGGAAGGCGTCCAACAACTGGTTTTGGGTTTGTACATAATAAGGGGTGATAACATGTAAGTTCTTGTTGAACCTTTATTCTCTTTGCCTCGGTTTCTACTTCTCTCTTTGCTTAGTCTCTGATATTTTGATACTTTGATCGTGGCAGAAGCGTTATTGGGGAACTCGACGAGGAACTCGATGCGCACCTTGACCTGTCGAATCTCAGAGCACATCCCCTCAAGGCTGTGATTCATTGATCAGAGGCTCGAACAGTTTCGGAGTTTCTCTTGGTGGACCGGATTCTTGTACGAGTGTTCAACTTAGAGAGATACCAGCGCGTCTTACCTGCAGACGTAAGTTGGGACTGTTTTACGCGAACAGTTTGACCGTCACAATTTGGTGGATGTCACTGTGTTTAAGCCGAAGTGATTCTAATTTCTTCGAATGTACTGAGAATGGGAAGGAGCGATTTTTGACGATTAGTTCTGAATGTCATTTACGGCGGTACGTCAGTTTCTCCTTAGCATTGAAGAGAATTGTTGGACATTATGGGTCGATCTTAATATTAACACTTTATTTGAGCATTTTATATATAACTAGACTATGCAAATTTCAGATCTATGAGTTGGTCTTCGCTCGATATGATCAAAATATTAATACAATGCACCAAACCAAATAACTTGTTTGTATTACACCTCGTAAAGTAGGCATGTTTGCGAGGTAGTTCGTATCATACAAACACATAATTAAAGTTTTAATAGCAACTAAATTTTTAGTTGGATTGACCCATGTAGAAAATTTCCTAAATTCAATCTGAATTTTGTATAACTTCATCGTCTTACTAAATCAGGAACTTTAAAAAAAATTCAAACAACATATTTCCTTCAATGAATTGTCAAGTGTACAAATTAGTCCAAACTCCAAAGTTAATATCAATACATCAAATCAACTCTTGAGAGTGCAAACACACAAAAATAAAATAAAATCATAAGGCACATATAATGGGCGATCACAAGCTTAGTTCAAGCCAGCAGTGTAAGGCACCCCAGTCTGCGGCAGCCACGAATTCCCTCCCAAGAACTTGGAAACCGTAAAATTCTTAGCATCGGTCTCATTAGCCACATGGTACCCCAGCCAGTGCACCCTGTCACGGGTGCTCGAACCGGGGCCCGTGTTATTGAACTCCGCGTAGTAGAGCGTGTCGAGCGCGAAGCTCGACGCGTTCCACGGAGTCCAGCCAGCAGGATCGATCAACCCGTCGACAAAAGACTCCATCACGATCGTCGTCGAGTACTCCTTCCACGGCCTCCCTAGGTACGTCTTTGTAGTCACATTGGAAGTTTTCAAGTCCTCAGTCGCCAAAACGGCGCAGTTTTGGACCGACGTGCCCGTGTTCTGGTTCTGGTCGGTCCTGCCCTGTGCGGTCACCGTGTTGAACTGGTTGTCCATGGGGCGCCTCGAGTAGATATTGCAGTTCTGCAGCACCGCCGCCGCGTTGCCGAAGATGTAGTCGATGGTGCCGTAGATGTCGCAGTTTCTGTAGAACTGCCTCTGGGAGTGCGCGTAGAGTGTGTCCTGGTAGCCTTCGAAGCTGCAGCTGTAGAACGTCGACTTGTCGGCGCCGTTCCTCACCGCCACGGCCTGGTGCTTGGATGGTCCGGCCGTGTTCCTGAATGTCACGTTCACCGCCACAAAACCTCGGCCTAGCACGGCTGGCCATGGATAGATAGATAGACAATTAAGATGTAGATCAATTGAGCTAGTGATTAACAACATAGAGGCATTAATGACATCTATAGGAAACTATTGTTGTAGTAAACATTAAGGCTAAATGTATGTTGTGCTTGATTCATATGAAGGCAAAAGAAAAGAGTTGACTGAATTAAGCTTGAGCTAGCTTACCAAATGTGGCGGAATTGAAGGTGGTCCAACCATCGACCACGCTTCGATTCCCCGTGATGACGGTCTGGTTGATCCCGTCTCCGATCAGCATAATGTAACGCTTTTGCTTAGGAATCGAGACGTACTCTTCGTACACGCCGGCCATCAGGTGGATGACGTAGTATCCATCTACGAGCTCCGTGTTGTTAGGCGCCATGGCGACCGCGTCGCTGATGGTGCTGAAATTACCCGTCCCGTACTGATTCACCACCACGATCTGACTCACTTGAATCCCATCCGCCACGACGAGGCTCCTCCCCTTCGAGGGGCGGTGGCTCCTCCTCGGCAGGAGGTGGTGGCTTCTGCTCCTGGCTAGTTTCGACACGATCTGCTCGCTCTCAGCCAGCCACCTGCCGTTATTGCCAGCACCAGATGGCTGGCAATCGTCTCGTACCCACCCGTGCTTGAACAGTGCAAGGGAGACACTGTTGTAAAGTTCCCCATCATAGAGGTGTGGGAACATGGCATTTTTGAAGGATGATGAAGGTGATGCTGAGTATTGTGAAAGACCTTCCAAGCAAGTTTCTTGGTTGGTGATGGTGGAACTGAGCCATGTCATGAGGTCATCGGCTTCGTAGCCCTCGAGGAACGTGTCCTTACCCTTTACAGCTTCGCAGGCTTGCGAGAGGTAATCGATGTTGAGCTCAGAGAGGAGGTGACAGTCTTGAAGGGGGTTTGAGTAGGAAGTGGAAGGAATGTCACTTGAGAAATGGTCAACCATGGAATGGAAATCTTGGGCATGGGATAAGGAATGGGAGAGTGAGGATCTTCCATAGTCATGGAGAGATGATGGGGCTAGAGGGTTGTTGTTGCTGAAGGGCAAGAAGGATTTGCAAAAGTTTGGGTGTGGGGTTAGGCTGCAAATGGAGTCTGGTGTTGAGTAATCCGCAAGAGATGAGGAAAAGAAAGAGAGGAGGAGGAAGGAAATGATCAAATTGGTTTTGGCCATCTCTCTTTTGAGGAGAAATGAAAGGTTGTTGGGTCTATTGGATTGGACATTTCCAAAGGGCTATTTGTAATGAAGAATTTATTTGGAAAAATGGGATCAAAGAAAAATATTTGGTCTTTTTTGGGTTGGTCACAAAACGTGCTGGCTGGTCATCCTTGTATGTTAAGATCATGCCCTTCACTAGTAATGTAAGAATTGGTCATCAACATGATCTTAGAGATACGTTTGTGCTGTGTGCATAAGGCAGTTTATTATACTTAATTTCTTCGTGTAAGTTGTTTATAGTATATTGGTTGATTTGTGTATCCAAACAAAATGTATCAAGAACTTTGAAAAACCACAATTTATTGCTCAAAGATTTGTGCAACTGGAGTAGAGTAGAAAAGCATTTCATTAACCGAAATTGAAACTTTAAACCTAGGGATCCGAACTAGTCTATATTGGATAAAAATAAAACATTTATCTCAATTATGTAATGATACAAATATTCTGGTACCAGCGGCGAAACTACATTGAATCTTAGGGACCCGACATCTTGAGAATTTTGAATATCACGTATAAATGATGGTAATTTTTTGAAATTTGTATTAACTAAAAGTTTTTAAAATGAAGAATTACACAACCTTATGTTAGATCGGTGAAATCATTGATTGTTTGGTTCATGTAACAAGTGGGCCTGGGTAACTAGGTTCAATACCCAATGGCGAGAAGTTTCACTATTTTTCTCTATTTAGTTTATTCTGGCTAATAGTTCAATCTCATCACTTAATTTTAATTCTTCTTAAATACTCTTAACTTCAAAATAATAGAAAAATACTTCTCATTAAAAAATCAATCTAGTCACTTAATTTTTATACTTTATCTTCTTTAATACTTTACCTTCAAAATTAATTCTTCAACTTCTACATTCATATTTTCGAAGATAATTCCGGTCATACAACAAAGAATGTCATTTTTCAAATAATATTATTCAGATATATTAATTTTTCCAGTTATAATATAGTGAATAACGGCCAATGGGGGTTGGCCTAACTTGTGAAACGGTGCACAATCAATCGAGAGATTGTGTGTTTGATTCTCGACGATAGCAGCGATCCTTTAGTAGCACTTGCTAGGCGGATGAATGCTTTGCCCCACTTGTAGACAGTGCAGTCAAAATTGCGCATTAATACGTAAAAACGTATCCAGGCCACCAAAACGTTTCAGTTTCTACCTAAAGTCGCTTAGTCACAAAAACTGATAATAACATCGGTAAAATCGCGATTCTGAAGCGTTTTTATACGATTTTGATCATCTCATAAAAATGTGCTAATTGGCCCAGAATGATTAATTTTGGAGACATATCAGCAAAAAATAAAAAAAGGAAAACATGATTCATCACTCGTTCTACAACTAGTGTCGATATAGGGGCTTCACATTAGGTTGAAGAGATACCTAATGGTATTCTCAACAGCCGCTGACCTTCTATCAGTCTTCTCCATTAATCTTCACCCGTGGCTTTTACCTGGGTTACGATAAAAGTTTATGAGTAATTGATCATATGTAATTATGTAAACTCAAACCAGCTTATGAGAATTTAGATTCTCAAACTCGTTACGGGTTACGATATACGTTTATGAGCTTATTATTAATATGTTATGATTTTTCTCTACTTTTGAGTCAACACAAATTGGTTTATGTGTTAGATATTACATTTTAATTATGAATTTCATGTAGTTATTCACTTATCTAAAATTTACACACTCACATTTACGGATGGCAACAAAACCCGAACCCACGGGTACCCATCCGACCCAACCCGATCAACGCGGGTAAAATCCGTGTTGAGGGGTTTTGGGCCGGATTTGGGTTGAAACCCGTTCACTATTCAACGGGTTGGGTTGGGTTTTGGTTTAGGTAAACCCGGCCCGTGGGTACCCGCCCACCCATATAATTAATTTTTTCGGTATATTTAATATTCTCAACAACTAATCTTATTTATATTTGTGGAGACATGTCTAATTTTTTCTTTTTAATTGTGTAGAATGAAGTTGATGTTATGGAGTGGAGAGTAAAGAAACTTAATTGAAAGGAAGAAGCTTTCAATTAAACATGTTATTTATGAAAAATTTGTGATTTGCTTCAATTTTTTTTAGTTTTCTAGATTGGTGTTGAACAATTTGTATAGTTAATTTGTGATTTGCTTGAATTTTCTAGAATGATGTTTTATATATGGATAATTTGTATTGAGAGATTGATATTTGACTTTAATTTTGATAAGCACTTGTAATTGTAAATTTTTTACGATAAAACTCGTGGGTACCCATGAACCCGCGGATACCTAACGGGTTGGGTTGGGTTTGAGTTTTTCAAACCCAGTGGGTTTTACCCCGAGTTTTTTTCAAAGATAAACCCATAGGTTTGGGTTTGGCAAAACCCGACCCAACCCGACCCATTGCCATCCCTACTCACATTTTACATACTATATGTTGTACTTAACATATTTTAGCTATTTTAGAGAGTGCGTAAAAAACATACGCTTTTACGCTTTGATTCTACGTTTTACGATTTTACCCATTTACCGCTTCTAGGTAGAATCGCGCTTTTAACTGCATTGCTTGTAGAGGGTCATCACTCATCAGGGTCGTTCCAGGGTTGCCTGGCGGATATCCTAACTCTTCTTCACGAGCCTATCCCCTTGGGCTTCTAGACCGTCTGTTATGACTAGGGATGGCAATCAGACCCATTACCGAGGGT